CTGGTTCTTTCTTCTATATCCTTTTACTTTCCTCTTGTCCCACCACCATGTTTGGCCATCATTTGGGTTTAGTAATTCCTCGTTGCTACATTGCACTTGATTAAGTTCCATTAGGCATCCTATATGCCCTTCTCTCCATTGATTTTAGTTCACTTGTTGTTTCCTTGTACCTGGGTTGGTTTCCGCCATCCCCTTTCTCCTACCTCCCCTTCTCCTGTATACCCCCAGAACCATGTAACATGGAACAAATGAGAGTTAGCACAGAGAAGGCAGAGAGGCCCATGCTATGCAGCTCACAAATGGCAAGAGCTGGCTGTGGCTCACGCCAGAAGGCGTCCTGGAGACAATACATGTCATCTTGATTCTACACAATAAAAGGAACAAAATGTGAAGAAGGTGGAAGAAGCAGGAGGACAATGGTACTAGTTCCCACCACCCCTCCCCCAATCCCCTTTCCCCCATTCTCCTCCCTTGGTACTCATTTTCTACCAAATGAGTACTACTGGTAGCAAAACTGGCAATGCTAGCTTGAGCTTGCTGCTAAGACTATATTTTCCAAATAGTGTTTTTTTCAAAGTTGTGCTAAAAGTAGTCCTTACAATGTCAAGAGAGGTGGAGATCGATTGCATTTGTTAAAATAGCAATCAACCTGAAATTAATAATGAAGGTCACCCAAATAATGTTATCCTCAATTCTACCTTCCTTCCAAGACACTAATATATCTTAATAAATATGTGTTTGAGATCTCTAAAAACTGATAGCTGTATTCTTTTGAAAAAGTGTAACTTTGGGCAACTTCCTTAGAACACCGCGACTGTGATTTCTACAGAAGTTAGATGTAACTGTATAAAAGAGTACTTGCTTATTAGAAAGCACTTGTTTACTAGAGAGATGCATTTTGGTAAAATTGACATTTTATCTCTCCTGTGGTAACACATTGGGTTGCTAACCATAAGGTATGCAGTTTGAAACCACCTGCTACTACTTGGAAGAAAGACGAGGGTTTCTATTTCTGTAAAGCAGTGGTTCTCAACCTTCCTAATGCTGTGACCCTTTCATACCATTCCTCATGTTGTGGTGACCCCCCAATCATAAAATTATTTTTGTTACTACTCCATAACTTTAATTTTGCTACTGTTAAGAATCAGGCAAGCCCCGTGAAAGGGTCATTTGACCCCCCAAAGGGATTATGACCCCCAGGTTGAGAACCGCTGCTGTAAAGAGTTATAGCCTTGGAAACCCACAGGGGCAGTTCTGCTCTGTCCGTCACTGGCTATGATTTGGAATTCACTCAGTAGCATGAGTTTGGTTTTGGAGTTGATTATAAGCTACGGTAAGTCCTTGGTGCCATCTTTGAGTTTATCAGACTACTGATGTTGCAAAGGCAAATACTTGTATAGCTCTCAGCAACTTTACTATTTTGATGAAAATTAAGACCTAAATTTGTTAATGTTTCAAAAACAATGAGCCTGTGTGTCAATATTTCATCCAGATGATAAAAGTACTTAAAATGAATTTCTCCACTTTCTATAAGTAGCTAGGATCGAAAAAACAATCCCTATATTATTCACTAATATTTCATATGTAATCCTTCACAATTTAAAGGTTAAACACATGATCATATATATTTTAAAAATCAAGAAACTGGCTGTGCTGACTGCTAGCCAGAATTATTCTATTATATATTGTCTTTCCTTCTTAAATTTATCATCTTATAACTTAAAAATAAGAAAATTTCAGAGAAAACTTAACCTTAAATTCAAAGACGAACTTTCATGAAATAATGCATTGGTAAATTTATATGCATCGAGCATTTGCATGAAATTTCCAGGAACGTATTGACTTAATTGAATGCAGAAAAATCCTTCCAATGCAAACATAGGACTATTAG